GCATTACCCCCACCCCCCAGCCCACTCCTCGCAAGCATCCTGCGCCACCCCACCCCACCCCGTCCTCTGCGCCCCAACCGCGCCGTCCAGGCCGCTCCGATGACCTGCGGTGGCGCTACCTGCAGCATGTAGTCCACGCGCGCGGCAGCACAGACGCGGCGCTGCACACTGACCTCGCGCTGGGGCTGGCCGCCGCCGCAAAGGGCGCGCTGGCGGCGCTGCGCGCGGCCGTGGCGGAGGCGGCGGCGCTGACATCAGCGGGGCCGGGGGTCGCGGAGGCAGCGGCTGGCGACAGCGGTGGCGGTGGTGGTGGCGGTGCGGCAGAGAGCGCCCGGGAAGGGCGCATGAGCGGCGTGGAGGCAGGCGGGTCGGGCCAGTTGGGCGCGCCGTCCCTGGATGCTCTGCTGGCGGAGATGGCGGAGCATCTGCCCGTCGTGTACGCGCCAAACACACCGCCGCGCGACGACCAGCAACAGCAGCAGCAGCGGCAGCAGCACCACGGGCCGGCCGCTGGGCCGAGCGGTGCGGGCGGGCAGGCGGCCCAGCAGGGCGGCAGCCGGCGCGGCACGTGGGGCCGCGGGACGGCGTCGCACAATGAACGCCGCGGCGCGGCGGCCTTGTCGCTGTCGCTGTCGCTGTCTTCCTGGGACGACCCTCAGCAGCAGTCCTGGCAGCACGCGGCCGCCGCGGACCAGCAGTCGCGGCACCACGGCGGCAGCGCAGCGGCGGCGGCGCGGCGATTCCCCCTGCTCGCGGGGCGGCCGGCCGGCAGCCGCACGGCGGCGGCGGCGGCGGAGCGCGCTCCCAATTCGCTCGAGGACAGCCTGCCGGCGGCGGCCCCAGCCGACCCCGCGGCCCGCCACCCAGCATCTGGGCGGCCCAGCCGGCTCAACACTGCCGCGCAGCACCCCTCGTCCGCCGCCGTCCTTTCGGCCGCGGCACCTGGATCCCCGACGCGGGCGGCCGCGTGGGAGGGCGGTGCGGTGGGGGTGGCTACGGGGCGGCTGTTTGAGCTGCGGTGTGTGCTGTGCCACCACCTGCAGGCCTCAGCCCTGTATGACCCCCAGGTGAGGGGGGGGTGAGGGTTCATGTCATGGTCGGGGTTGTCAAAAGGGGGTTGGGGCGTGGCTGGTCGAGAGAGGTGTGGGAGGCCGGGAGTGGAGAGGCGGGGG